ACGTTTGAACAATTCTTGGATAGCGGTCGAGTTGCCAATGAATGTTGCGGACATTTTCAAACCTCTGGGTGGGATGTCACACACGGCTGTCTTTACGTTGTTGGGGATCCATTCGACGAAGTAGGAGCTGTTCTTGTTCTGGATGTTAAGCATTTGTTCGTCGACTTCCTTCATGGACATGCGACCACGGAAGATGGCAGCCACGGTCAAGTAACGTCCATGACGAGGATCACAAGCGGCCATCATGTTCTTGGCGTCGAACATTTGTTGTGTGAGTTCGGGGACTGTGAGAGCGCGGTATTGTTGCGAACCTCTGGAGGTAAGAGGAGCAAAACCAGGCATGAAAAAGTGAAGACGGGGGAAGGGAACCATGTTGACGGCCAATTTACGGAGATCAGCATTCAATTGGCCGGGGAAACGCAGACATGTAGTTACGCCAGACATGGTCAGCGAAACCAAATGGTTCAAATCGCCGTATGTGGGTGTGGTGAGTTTCAAGGTGCGGAAACAGATGTCGTAGAGGGCTTCATTGTCAATGCAGTATGTTTCGTCTGTGTTTTCAACCAACTGATGGACAGACAGTGTGGCGTTGTAGGGTTCTACGACTGTGTCTGATACTTTGGGGGAAGGTACAACGGAGTATGTGTTCATGATTCTGTCGGGGTATTCTTCGCGGATCTTGGAAATGAGCAAGGTACCCATGCCAGAGCCGGTACCACCGCCCAAAGAATGTGTCAATTGAAAACCTTGTAAGCAATCGCATGACTCAGCCTCCTTTCTGACAACATCCAACACAGAGTCGACCAACTCTGCACCTTCTGTGTAATGACCCTTGGCCCAGTTGTTACCGGCACCAGATTGTCCGAAAACGAAGTTGTCTGGGCGGAAAATCTGTCCGAAAGGTCCTGAGCGAACTGAATCCATGGTTCCGGGTTCTAAATCGACCAAGACAGCACGGGGTACATATTTGCCACCGGAGGCTTCATTATAGTATACATTGATGCGTTCCAATTGCAAGTCACTGTCGCCATGGTAGGCACCAGTGGCATCAATGCCGTGTTCGTCGGAGATGATTTCCCAAAACTGTAAAACAACAAAAAAAAGAAAAGGCGTTAAACAAATGACTAAGGTATTTCGTAATAGTTTAATGTATACAAGTAAAAAAAAAAGGATGTAACACAATGATCCTACCCTACCTCAAAAACATTCTATGTACATGTATGTACCCAGCCGGGTATATAGAGAATTGGTGCAGTGATACATACACACCTTTTATATACACTAGAATTACATTATGTAGGTATGTGTCTATACATTGTCTTTGCAGACTATGAAAATTCTGATGAGTCACCAGATGATGTCCTTTACATTGCCTTGCAGACTGGCAGGCAGCCCGCCGCCCAGGGGTTGAAAACAGCAGTTCACATGGCAACTGCAAATAACAATGACTCACAGGACATTTTCATGGCTTTATCGATTTACTCTTTTCCCAAGCAACATGACCTTAATAACCAAAAGAAAAGTAGGTATACCTACATGGCCTACAGGCCATAAAAAGGTTCCATCTTTTCTCTTGACATCACCCAGCCAAATTGAAAAATGAAAACAACAACAAGAAAAAGACTTGAAACAGTTAAGCCCACAAATAAGAAAAACAACTTCAAGAAAACTACTTTGGTTCTGCTGCTGCGGCCACTACTATCGCTGACATCACCTTTTCATACAGCCATAAATGGAGAGTTTACCAGCAATGCAGTCAATCAAGCAATTTATGTAGGTTGCTTGGATGGTAGTTGTTATTGAACACAACAAACAACACATAAACAATCCTCTACGATAATAATAATAAAGCAAACTTGAAACGACAGATGTACGACAGCGTCATTTTACGTAGGAGTTAAGTCGTAATCTAGATATGATGTTCAGCAGTTGTCTACCAAAACAACTTGAACCAATCGAGCGATCAACCAACCAGCCAAGCCAAGCATTCAGTCGAGTCAACCTTAAGCAATTACTCAGAGTTTTTTTGCGGAGGTTGAGACTTCAATGAAAAAGGTCATTTAAGTCTGAGATCACCACGCCATATGGTCGCACAACTTGGCTGAGCCTGTCTTATGTTGGTTTATTGGTAATTATCTCCTCTCGATTTTCTCTTCCCCCAAACATTAGAAAAGCCAAGTTTCCCACAAGTACCTGTAGTTTTGTGAAACAAACATATAAGTATAGCTAATTGCCTACACCACAAACGAATCTATGGCAGAGCAAGCCGAATTATCAGTAGTAAGCAAGTTATGCAAAATGATGTCATCACCTAAAAGAAGGGAAATAGCCAAACAAACAAACACACACGCATAACTACACCACAAAGCTTCTAATTCATGGAGTTGTTTTTTCTTTTTGCTTTGAAGAAGCCTAGCAAAATGTTCAACTCTAACAACTTGAGTCTATTTAAGGCATTAGAGGAGAATAACAGATAAAGTAATTAAGAATTCCATTAGATACATGAAAGACCGGCCGTCTGCTGCCCAACATTCCACGGCAGATGTTTTTTTTTTTTACTCAGACATTTCTATATACTTCTCGCTCTACACCTCCTCTTCTACTAACCTACCCCTCAACATTTACAGTTACATGAAGAATATATAAACCGCACCCAAAGGCCGAATCTTTTCTCGAGTAGCTACATAATTGTGTATACAGCTTTTTTTGCCAGCCAACCAACCTACTATTTTACTACTTTTCGTTGTTCGCTAAAACCAACAAGAGAAACTAAAAGAAAGTAGCAAAGCGGCACCGCCCGGCTTTTCTTCTTATCGAAATATGATTCATTCCGGTGCTGCTGCTGCCGCTGATGGTGGTGGTAATTGCTAAGCAAATTTAAATTCATTTTTGCCATCTATCTTGTATGCTAACTTTCGTGCTATAGAGTGCTGCAAAATCTTAAAATTTTTCGCTACAACTGTACTTGAGCTTATTTTGCTGCTAGCTGGCTGCTTGCTCTGTTATGCTCTTGATATTCGTTTTATCTTTTCTTTTTGCTTCTATAGGTAGTTTCTTTTTTTTTTTCTTTTGAAAAACTTCAGCGAACAATAATTTTAGATACCGGCCAATTTGTCGGTTTAATAGAAGAGAAAAAAAAAACAAGTTTTGCACATTGCGGCGTCACCACATATAAAAATAGCGGCATTATTAGCAGCAAAGAAGATAGTGCTACAAAATGGCGACTGCCTGCCGCTTCAACATAAAAGTGGAAATTTAAAGAGAAAAACTAACGCACAACCTTTCACTTTTGCAAAAAAAAAAAATATATATATACAAAAACACAAAATAAAAGATATTTTATCTTTTGTTTGTTTGTACATACCTTAGCTCCGATTTGGTTTCCGCATTGACCGGCTTGAATGTGTACAATTTCCCTCATTTTGAAGTATTTGGTTTATTTAATAAGTTACAATATATAATAAAAAATGCAAATTTGACAAAACTTTCTACGCACAACCACAATGGCGAACTGTCAAACACTTTCTGAAATAAAGAACCCGAAGCGATTTGCTTTTATGCACAGCAGCAACGCCCAAGCAATTGCGCCAACGCCAACGCTTTTGCAGAGCAGAATGCTGCTTTGCAGCAACAGGGTTGTATTTGTGAAATTTCTACTACGTTTTGCCAGAAACAGAGGACAGAGTCGTGTTTGACGTGTTAAACGATGTGGCAATACTGTTATAAAAAATACGGCATTTCTTTAGTATTACATAGTCCGGTTCATGGCATAATAATAAGTAATTGTGCCACCATAAATAAATAACAGCAATGATTTAATTTATTAAGCATGGAATATAATGAAATATAAAGATGCCCTCAATTTATATTATCTACCTACAATACCCTTATTTAATACAAATTCAACAAATAACAGACTTCAATTTATTAATTTATCCATTGCTCAATTAGAAAGGTTGCTCAACTTCGAAGAAACCATGGTACAATAAGGAGGTAGAACCGCTTCCTTTCAGACTCATTCAAAATTATATGCAATAAGTTGTTTTAAAATTTTTTTCATATTTTTCATTATTTTTAAAATGAGTTAAATGGCGGGAAAACCGAATGAAACGCTTGGATTTTCGCTCAAAAATATGATCCAAACTGTTCAATCTTTAAATTTCATGGCTAAATTGGTTAATAACTTTAATGCGCGAGCCGCAATCTGCATGTCTTCCAACCATTGCTTTTGAAAATATTTTGTTTTCATTTTTCAAAACAATAAATACATACACAAAAAAAAATTATAATCAGCCTATTTATTGTTCCTGTTTTTATACAAGTTTATCCTGCTTTTATAAAACACCATAGTAGAATCAAGAAGGTTTGTTTTGTCAACATCTCATTGTCAAAATATATATTTATAAACCTATCGTAAATACACAATTTAGAGATGGGAAACCTAGTTCTTATGCAGTAAAATTTGACAAGGCAAATTACACAAAATGACTTTACCTTCTTGATATAACGTCAATAACGTGTTTTTATTTTTTGCAATTTACCTTACTCTGTTGCAGAATCTGCATTAATTTATTACATTATAATTTTTCGATATAAAAGATAAATCGTTTATCATATACTCTGTTACAGAAATATAGGAACATAAATGTTTTTGCGATACAATACACCAATGAAAATCCTTAAAAATGTTAGGTAGTATGCAAAACATTCAGTATAGTATGAATATCGTATCGACACAGCTACTGGGACAATGAACTGTTAAAACAATTTTGGAATTGAAAATTTAAATTTTTAAAATGATTGAAATTTGTAAAATATTTCGAAAAATGCATGTGATAATAATCCGCGATTGGCTTCGTATAAGAAAGCGCATCTAATGCATCTACCTGCATTCTTTTACCATGGTTGGTAAGAATAAGGTGACAGTTATTCCACTACCCACTTATCATATTTACGTTACGTGTACGTTACTGAAATAACTAATTCAATTTCCAACAAAATGCCGACTACCATCTGATTAATAATATTCCAACAACAAGGCGGCATTTTCACAACTTGAAAAACCAATTAAAAAAACCATGAAGTGTTATTGCCCATAATATTGTTCCATTCCCCAGGCTCCCACAGAAATAAGTCGATGCAAAATGGATAGCCAATATAAGGCATTGAACAAAGAATTGGTGAAAGAGGTCACGTCAATGAGGATGACTGTGGCAGATTATCGAACTGAAATAGTTCATCTGAGGGCAAAACTATTGGAGGCTGAGACTATTGTTATCCGAATGAGAACGAAGTGCTCTTCACTTCTAAAAAGTTTCTTCAAAGATGAATTGGAAATTTTAGACCCCAAATCACCTCTTTTGGAATATTTAGAACATGGAATGCAAACAGTATGCAGTGGTAGGCGAAGCACTCTCTTGGCGGAGGAGACAAGACGATCGAGTTCAGTTATTCAAACACCCAGATCTTTCAATTCTACATCGCCCGTTCGTTCCCAAGCTGATGAACATGAAATGTTCGAAGAGAGTCGGTTAGGATAACTCCTGTAAGATAGTAAGTTTCACATAAATAATAAAAAATCTTTACAGAAATGTGGAAGAGTTTGGAATAATTATGGAAGAAATTGAACCCATTTTTGTTGCTGGAGAATCGTAAGTACCAAGCACTTCCATATCTACCGCATTATTTAGTTTGTTATCAAAATTTTAGCATTGATGAAACGACACAAAGAGATATAAGTGAATACATGGCAAATATGTCTATGGCCTCCAACACTGACTCAAATGACGATGAGATAGAGCCAGAAGTTCATGCTTTGAAAGATGTGGCGAATACAATAAATGGAGTTGGGACGTCACCAAAAGTGCGGGAATATGTTACTGTAGCCAGAGGCAGATATCGATGCACCCCAGCTACACACAACCACATTGAGAGTGATATTGAAGTTGATGAAGTTCGACATTACACGAGTTCAGAAAAAATGTATTCCCTCTCAACATATTTGCCAATGATCGATAATGACAGTAAGTCGTTTTCATATGTTTCACTTTCTCTGACTTACTTATTTCTATACAGTTGAATGCGGTAACAGTTCATCGCTGGATACTTTCTTGAACGGTTCAGCTACTGAAAAATTTCTTATAGAAAACAGTAGTACTCCAAATACTATGGAAGAGAACTCATTAAGAAGACCACAAAGAAAATGCAAACCAAAATCGTTGAAAGAAATGTTGTTAAATGCTAAGCTAAGAAGGCCATGATATGTTGACGTATTCTAAAAGGCTTTTCATTTTTTTGTTTTCATATTTACTGTAATATGTCGCTCAAATCTAGTTCTAAAACGTACATCGGTAAATTTGGAAGATGTACAGGACAATTATATCGGAAAAAACTTGTTTTCCAGTTTTTGTCCACATTTTGCATGATTTGCTCATACTTATTGTAAGCACTTAATTAAGAATAAATTATATGTATATTTTATACGGATACATAGAGACATCTGCTGTTTTTTTTTAACATTAGACTAAGCAATAAATGTAATACGTACTACACAAATTTCATTTAAATAAGGCCTTATAATTTTTACAGAATAAAAGCGAATAATTCCACTGACTGTCAGATTGGCAGCATATAGTCTTACTGCAGCTTACAGTACATGTGACGTCAGCAGCATAAGTCCAGTGTAAGAAAGAGAGAGAGTTATTTCACTGAAAGTGGCTGGATTTTACTGGAAGTCATTTGTCCAGCAAGTTCTAGCAAACTAAACCAGCAGCTATTTTCAATTTTTAAATAAAAAATGGGACGGAAATGTTTGTTTATTATTTTTTATTTTTTTAATTTATCATTTTCTTTGCACTAGCACACCGGTTAGTAATTTTTTATTTGACCATTTTTATCATTACTAAAATAGCAAAATGCTTTTACCAGAACAGCAGATTTCTTGCTAAGTATAACTGAAAGTCATATTTTCTCATTTTTTCATTTTATTCAGCGTTTTTCAACAATTTTTACAAATTTGAATAATTTTTCATTCAAATTTTTAAATTCAAAAAATTGTTTTACAGTTCATTTCCCCAGCTGCCGTGTGCATGCGTCTACCTGTAGATTCACCTGTTCCAGAATGTAAACTATTTTAATACGATAACGAAATAAATAATCTGGTTTAAGATTGGTGTTTAAATGCTTTTTTGTTTGTTCTTTTAATTTCCCTCAAATTCCCCATCTGTGGATAGCCAACGATTTACCCAGCTTTGGGAAATACCCAATACCGGTAACACTGTTCATGGGTCAAATTTAATTTGTAACTAGTTCCGCGCTCTTTTAGTGAATGTGTCTCATTCATTCGTTTCGTTGGGGACGCCTTTCATTTTGTTTTCCCACGCGCGCATTCGCTCTGTTCTGCAACAACATAACAGGACAAAAGTGCGCGCGCTTTAGAATCTCACCTTAACAAGAACATTAGAATTGGACACATTAGTTGAACAGAAATTTAAAAATACCGTGAGTAAAGTAAGTCGAACAATCGACTATGTGAATAGTAAGTCGAACAATCGACTATGTGAATAGTCGAGTACTCGGTTTTCACCCAAGTCTATAGTCGAGTTCGAGTTTCACTTTGAGTACCAGAAGTCGATTATTCGATTAATCGAAAGTCGACTTACTAGAAAGCAGAGAAAATAATTTTTGATCGCTGTTGCTGCTGTTTTGTTTAACCATGTCGTCGTCTTTGAAATTAGTAGCTTACGAAAAACTATAAACTATTGTTGTAAATGTAATGAAGACTATTAGCATTCCGTTTTATATTTAGTAAAATTTTCTCGTCGTCTAAAACATGGAGGTAAATAGTGTTTCTACAATGACTATCGACTTGTTGCAACATTCAACACACCTGCCACAAACACGTACAAACAAACACTTCTTATTGGAGGTGAACTTGCCACGAAGAGAACTTGCCACGCAGAAACAAAAGTATTTTCTGGCTGGCTGGCCAATTCGAAATCAAGTCATCAAATCGTCGATTGATTGTGGCTCGATGATTGTGAATAAAAACTAAGACAATACAATTACCGTTATTTTATGATACGACGAGCTACAATGCGTGTGTTTATGTGTGTGTGTCTATATTTATGTTTTCTTTTGTTTATTTAGATAGGTAATAAAAAACCTTTATGTTTTGTCCCAATTAATACGCTGAGCGATGTCCAACCAATACGTTGCTGTTCATTCAGTGAAGATGGTCTACTCTATGCTGTGGGTTCCAATTCGAAAACCTTACGAATTTGTCTCTATCCCCCACAGATCAACAATATAAGGTAGCTATTGTGTGTTAATCTTTACCTTTCCTCTAATATTGTCTTATATTTTTTGTTTTAGTAAACCAACACAAACGAGCGTGATTTTTAAACGTACCAAACACCACAAGGGATCGATCTATTGCTTATCGTGGTCTAGGGATGGACAGTTTATTGCCAGCGGTTCCAATGACAAAACAATAAAAATTATCAAGTACAGCAGTGAAAACAAGCAGCTGGAGGGTCGCGAATTGGAGCTAACCATGCATGATGGCACTGTTCGGGATTTGTGTTTCATGAATGAATCCTCAACGGAGAGAAAAGGTCTTGGTTAGCGGTGGTGCTGGAGACTGTAAACTGTATATAAGTGATTGTGGTGTTTTAACGCCAATGCAGGCAGTATGCTGGACATTCTGGTCATATATATTCGTTATATAGCTGGGAGAACAATATGGTTGTAACGGGATCGCAGGTATGAGTGGAATAATGAACATGTCACAGAATAAAAACTAAGGTGGTGGTTTGGATGCTTCACTCTCTAGTATTACTTTTATCAAATGATCCGCTAATGAATCCCGAAACATATTCATCCAATATTCCTATTTCCGAATCTAAAGGATAAAACCGTTCGTTTTTGGGATATACGTGTTCCGGAATGTATTAATAGCGTTTTGCCCGGTAGCTATTATGACGCAATGGGATCTCCGGTGACAGCAGTTTGTGTTGATCCAACGGGCAGGCTATTGGTGTCAGGTCACTGAAGATGCCTCCTGTGTGCTACACGACATTCGTCGTAATCGCCAAATTCAATGCTTCCAACCCCACTCTGCAGATATAAGGTATGTTGACGCCTTCTTCTTTGATCCCGTCTTGATTTGATATCATCTCTTTGTTTTTAGATCAATACGCTTTTCGCCCTCGGCCTACTACTTGCTTACATGTGGTTATGACAATAAAATAGTTCTCACCGATTTGCAGGGCAATTTAACTTTATCCCTACCATCCGTTGTGGTAGGAGAGCACAGTGACAAAGTTATATCGGCTAGATGGCATCCCAGAGATTTCTCAATATTGACAACATCGGCTGATAAAACTGCCAAATTGTGGGCTATACCAAATATCTAAGAAAGATAAGGTACTCTATACCAAAAACAAGATAAAAATGAGCAAGAGGTATGGATGGATGTCTAGATGTAACATATAAGCAATCAAAAAGTCTGTTTAGTAATAAAATGAATCAAAACATTTCCAGTTCTTATTTTTCAACCAACAAACTTCTTTTGCCTAGGTTTTAAGTTTATTTATTTTTCTGCCAATCTTTAAATAAAAAAAAAATTAAAAAAACTAAAGAAATAAGGCCTTTGACCCTTAAAACCCCAAAAATATATTGAGTAAACAACACCTTCGTGTTTGGTTAGTTGTATTATTATTTGCACATTACTTTATTAAGTGATTTTTGTAGAATAAACCTATAACAATTCATACTGACGAAGGTGCATTCTTTGAATTATGTCTCGACAATCATTGAATACTCGCTTGATATTCTCAGTATCTACAGCACATGTAAAATGGGGATAGCAATAATGTTTCCCATCACCACTAGCAGTAGAGATACGCTAAAAAATGTACAAAGCCAATTAGAATGGGTAAATATAAATAAGGAATACAAATGTCGATGGCGTACCAAAAACTCATCACGTATGAAATACTTAGCTCTTATGACTTCAGGATCATCTCCGGACTCGATTATTGCATCACCTAGGGGGACAGGACAAGAAATTTTTGATTATGGCGTGCTAAATGTTATCAAGTTCTTCTATTTTGTTCATCTTACTTGGTGTTTGATATTTATTGAACTCGGCAAAATAATCCGAGAGTTTGCTTTTTCCAGCTTTTATTTTTTCAGCTAACAAATCTTGTTTGTTGAGAAATAGAATAACAGATATTGTGCGCAACCATCTAAAAGTAAATAAAAAGGGCGGTTATTTATTACCACAATCCATCCATAGTCATCCAAAAAACAATTACCTATTATTCCAAATGCTTTTAAATAATTCCAAGGATTCCCGTAATCGATTTTGTGTTGGATCCTCACGTAAAACCATATTATAGCTAGAACATGCGGTCACAAATATAATTGCAGTAACGTCATTAAAGCATTGTATCCACTTTCGACGTTCGTCCCTTTGGCCTCCCACATCAAACATGCTGTAGAACAATTCCAAAAAAAGGAATAGTTAATTGGGGGCCATACAAACAAATATAGCGAAAACTTACTGAAAATTGACTTTGTCAACTTGAAATCTTGTTTCAAAAATACCAGAAGTTAGTACACGACACCGCAATATATCCTGTTCATTAGGTGTGTAGTTGGGTTGTTTTATTATGCTTACTCGATCCAGAAAGCTGAAGTAAATTAAAAAAGGAAAGTAGTTAATTTTCAATTGGCCTTTCGTTTTGAGTTGCATTGCATCTCTAACTTACTACTTTGCACAATCAATTAATTGATATTCATTTGATCTTTCATAAGTCGCCAATACACCTCTATCCTTCCACAATTCTTCTGTGTGCTCATAAAATTCAGGAGGATAGTTGAAATCAGGACCTGCATTTAAAAATAGAAAACAAAATCGAATTCAAAACAGTTCATTTTTAAAGGGATTTTTTTCTTTAAGACTTACTTGAAGCATAATCCTGTATGTACTCGACTCGGATCTCGTTCTCCTTCTTCTCTAAAGGTATAGGTGGATTCAATGTGCTCATTGCACCAGTAATAGTCTGTGAAATTAAAATGGAAAAGGGAACATTAAAAGTGTTAATTGAAATGTATATGAGAGCTATATCCAAATCTGATCTGATCTTGAAAAAATTTGGCAGAGGTATTTCTGGGCTGTATCTGATATCTGGTACCAAATATCATTGTTGTGAAGTGCTTATTACGAATGTAGGGAAATTAAACAACAAATCGGATTAAACATATATTTGGGAGCTATAGCTATATCTGAACCGATTTTCGAATTTTTCTGTACCTGCTTCTAGACTGAATTCGGCCGGGTGTACTAAAATTCAGAACATTTGACCAAATATTGGCCATTTGGTGCACAATTAACCCGAAATCGCTTCAAGATATATGGGGGCTATATCCAAATCTTAGCCGATATCGATAAAATTTGGCAAAGATATTTCCGAGCTCTATAGGATATCTGGTAACAGATATCATTGTTGTGAAATGGATATTACGAATTTGAGGGACTTAAACACAAAATCGTATAAAACACATATATGGGAG